AATTTTTACTGGAGTTATAAATAAAAACGTTACCGAACAAATTCCATGAAGCTTCGTAATTACAGAATGGATGTACAAGAAAATAATCGAGATAGAAATTTGATATTTTCAGGGCATCTTCCTATTATTACGAGTGAAATCTCTGCCAAGTTTCAGATCAGTTCATAAATTTCCATCAAAGTTACGAAAAAAAAAAATAACATTTTCAAAAAATTCTATTCTATTCCATTCTATTCAAAACTGTCCAAGTTTTGGGGCACGCGATAATATTAAAATTAAGCTCTCGAATTTTGCAACAATTTCATTTAAACATTTTTACTCCCAGAAGTTATTCGGAGATTTCAAAAATCGTTCGTCCGAGAGCCACTTGAAAGTTCGCATGTCTGCCGTCGCAGTTTCCCGGAGTACGCACAAAGGCGTCCTCTCCCCCTGCCCCCACCACCCCCCCCCTCTTCCCCGTTGCCGTTGAAATGATTTCCGAACGGCTTCCTCCGTTCCTGAACTCGCGGCAGCAGATAAGGAAAATCATACGCATCTCTTGTCCAGGAATCCTCTCGCAGCATGCATAGGAAAGCCATTAGTGGCGCCCGTTAATCCAACGTACGGGCCGTGCCGCATTAAGCCGCATTTCCAGCGTCCGCGTGTCGCTCGTTAGGCTGATTTGTCGCTTTATTAGATCTTAGTTTGCGCAACGACCACGGGATCGCCGACATTACCGCGTAACACGCCGCGAGAGCGACGGAGAACAGTGGGACAGATTTGCAATTTGCGTAAATTAGACGATTGCACATCGAGCCTTCCACCCCCCCTCCCCTCCCCTCCTTCGTCCCGCCGCACCCGTCGTTCCCCCAACTCTGGCGTTCGTGTTACCCGTGATCTCACGGTCCCTCCGTCGGTGGACGCGATCTCTGTTTCGCTTAAAGTCACCGGTGGCCTCTAATGGCACGTGTAATTGGCCGATAATTCGCGCTAGGTGTTTCGAGCCACGCGGTGGCAATTAACCGAACGCGGAAGGCGAGAAGAGGTTTCCTTGGTTTTCCTGTTACTCGGCTTCCGCGACTTCGTGGAAAAGTTCCAATAGAGTTCCCGTCGGAGTTCTCTGAGGCTCCAGAGGAGACTAGAGTGCTCTGACAGAACTCCAACAGATCCCAATCCTATGTGCTTTCATTATATATAGATTCAATACTAGATAGAGTCAAGCATAAAGCGCTTCATTTCTGAATAGCTTCAATCCAAGAGTGCTTCAATTCAAAATAGCTTCAATCATAGAGTGCTTCTTCAATTGTAAACAACTTCAATCATAAAGTGCTTCAATTCTAAATAGCTTCAATTAAAAATGGCTTCAGTCATATAGTGCTTCAATTCGAAATAGCTTCAATCATAAAGTGCTTCAATTTGAAATAGCTTCAATCATAAAGTGCTTCAATTCGAAATAGCTTCAATCATAAAGTGCTTCAATTCAAAATAGCTTCAAACTAAAATAGAGTAAATTCTAAAGTGCTTGAATTCTAAATAGTTAAAATTAAAAATAGCTTCAATTCCAGTGCTCCAATTCTAAATAGCTTCAATCATAAAGTGCTTCTTCAATTGTAAGCAACTTCAATCATAAAGTGCTTCAATTCTAAATAGCTTCAATTAAAAATAGCTTCAATCATAAAGTG